ATCTACTTAATGACCACAGAGAGCTGTATAGTCACAGCTAGGTGCTACTTTGTATTATGTTCATTCTACTTACTAAGTTTTATGCCTAAAGTCAGACATGTGTTCACAGCTTTGTATATATCAGCTGCACTTGCTACTGAAAGTATTTAGATTAATTAAGATCTTTTGCAAGTCAATAAAATGTGAAAATTAATTAATTAATTAAAAAAGAAATTTTTAAAAAATCAGTGCAATAGTTAACACAAAATTTGGGACCATGGTTACCTGAGAGGGGTGAGAGGATACAGTAGGAGGAGAAAATAGCCCGGAAAGAACGTGTATTGAACTTCTAAGTTGCCAGCGATATCCTATTTCTTAAACCTGGTGTCAGGAGCACAGGTATTCCTCTTGTTAATCTCTGAAGTGTGCATCTGTATGATACTTTATATATACTTTTTTTTTTTTTTAGAGAGGTTTTTGCTATAGGGCGCGTGCGCTCGCCAGTCAGACAGAGAGACAGAGAGTCAGAAAACGAGAAATCACCCCCCAGAGGGGATGGCCATGCTGCAATCCCTTCTCCATTCTCCTGTCGGGATCTTGGGCACGCATATATATACACACACATGCCCGGCATGAGTTTTAAACCACCGGGTCGGGACACGAACCGTGGTCGACTACAAGGGAGTCCAGCGACATAGCCATTACGCTAACGGCTGGTCCCCACATTAGCTTATTTTAATAATCCAGTCTGGGTATAATTTTTATAGCTTTGAACAAGCTATACTTTGAAATACTTGTCAGAAGAAGTTCAGGGTATACAACGATTTTCAAAATCCTTACCTATATTTTAGAAATATATCAAAACAATAGTCATAGAAGAAGTATTAGATTAAAATTTTTCTTTAAAAATTGTCTACTATGTATCTAAACTACTTTAAGGATCACATATATTTTAAAATAAAATGATAAACAGAACTAGTCAACTGCCACTCTGAAGCAGTGAAATTGGGGAAAGTATTTCTCTCTAAGCTTCACTTTTCTCACTTATTAAATTGCGATAAAGTTTATCTCACATTTTGAGGATAATTAGACCTGTAAAACAGTTAATAGGGGAATGTCTTGGGTTTATTAACACTTAACAATGTTTACCCACCTCTAAGTTGTATCCATGAATTGTGCACCTATAAATTCCATTAGAAAGTTCTTGATGGATGCAGCTAATGATGAAGCTCTTTTAACTGTTCCATCAACTTCAACATATGCCATTTACTGCACAGGCCAAGAATTCGAGTGATTATATTCATATTCCAACAACCAGAAATGAGGGCTAAATAAAGAACAATTTCCACTGGTAAGATCACTTATGGCTCATTAATGCACTGATACTGTTCATTGGTCAGAACATAGTCATGTGGCCATACGTGTAGTTCCCCCACATTATTTCTCCCAAACTAATTTCCAAGAGGAAAGAAACTATCTTTTGTTCAATTCTGTACTCCTAGATTTTTTTTTAAAAAAAAGGGACCAGGAACACATAAGGAATGTTAATAAGTATTGGGTGAATGACTAAAGGAATTTTTAATTCCAGTCAGAAAAAGTCTAAGAAAATTGGTTTAATCATATAGATCCAATCATGACATGAATGCTTTGTTTAGTCTTGCTTGGTTAGCAATGAATATCCCTCATATGGAAACAACTGAGGTAATCCCTCCACTACTACTAATTGTAAAAAGCCTATTTTCTTCTGAATAGATGATTGAAAAGCCCCTCCAGGGACCAGCAGTTAGCATAATGGCTATGTCACTGAACTCCCATGTAGTTGACTGTGGTTCGAGTCTCAGACCCGATGGCTTAAACTCATGCCAGGCGCATGTGCGTGCATGCCCAAGATCCCAAGAGGATAATGGGAAAGGGGTGTCATGTGGGCCCTCCCCCCCCGCAAAAAAAAAAAAAAAAAAGTCCCTCCACAAGGCACAACAAATACAGCCAGAAAGCCCTGCCCTAATGACATAACCAATATTAACGCATGTAATAATGTACTTATTGAAAAAAATGGTGCAAAAATTAATATAGGTCCAGCCTCGATGGCTCAGTCAGTAGTTTACTAGACTGCAGAACTAGAAGCTACAGGCCTACCATCCTTTTTGTCTTTTGTGGGAGGCTGTGCGCTGGCAAGTCTGCCGAGGTTTTTCAGAGAGCAAACAATTGCCATGATTGGTTCTCTTCAAAAAACCTGACCTTTGAAACCTTGCTCTGATTGGCCACTAGAATCCCTCAAATTTGCATATCCAGCACCTCATGATTGGTCCAAAAGCAACCAATCACAGCCCACCATTTACAACCCACCAGAGTGTATATAACCACAATGCCTGGCCCACAGTAGCCAGATGAAGACGACCAGGAAGACGACGATGACGACCAGAAAGATGACCACCAGGAAGACGACGACCACCAGGAAGACGACGACTGAAGAGCCTGAAGAGCTGAAACACCGCGCAGTCTCCAGACGACCCTGAAGATCCTGAAGAGCTGACACTACATCGTCTCCGGATGACCCTGAGGAGCTGTGACACCGCGTCGTCTCTGTGCTGCTCACAGTAGACAACGCGACCATTAAGAGCTGTGACACTGCGTTGTCTCCGTGCTGCTCACGGGTAGATGATGCGACCCTTAAGAGTTGTGACACTGCGTCGTCTCTGTGCTGTACGTGCTGCCCACAATAAACAGACGACACTGTCATCTCCGTGTTGTAACACTAAGCCGCTTGTCCCGGCTCTTACTCCTTCACTCAGGAAACCTATTCGGCTGTTCCCCCACCCACACACACACAGTCTTTATCCAAGTAAGTTTGAAAAAGGGAAGTGACAAGGATCCTGGTGAGCTAGAGGACAAGGGAATTGACACATGGTCAGGTTCTGTGAGTACTGTAGACAGAAGACACAAATCCTCATCTCATAGGAGGAAGTCAAGCTACTATTCATAACCGAAAAATCAAGAAACAGCGGACTTTACTTTGTCTCTTACTCAAAAATATGGGAACCCGCATTAGAAGAAACTGTTGAAATGTAGAAGGTGGATATTTAGAAAACCACTCAGGGATTAGGATTAGATCAGAGCCTACAGTTTTAGTTTAAAGGTTTACCACCGAACTAACTAGTTTTACATAATGTATGTTTAATTTTCGCTTTTCACACAAGGATTAGTGCTGCATTCCTCTCAGCTTGTGGAAAACAGAATCTAAATCATTGTTAGCAGCCTTTTAAGGTCTTGCAGGATGACCAAAGAGGAAAAATACACTTACCCAAGAAAAGTGGAAATCTGCTGTACGACTACTATTATATATGTCTGTCACACTATGTGAATTTAACCCCAATAAAAAAACTTCCACAATTTTACATACGAAGCACTACATACACACGCACCATCCACCCAACCTTCACGTGGACACACTAACATGTAAGAATTCTACGCAACTGCGCGGTGGAGTAGATGAGGAAGCGAGCTCAGAAGGGGGGACAGGAGCGACCTCAGCATTGAGCTGGTTCGACTTCCGCCTCTGACATCAGGGCCAAGAACCCCCAAGAAAATAACGCGGAACCAAAGGTCAGCGACGACGCCTCAGACCGGCCCCACGCAGGCCCCGCCCACCGCCGCGCCCCCAGGGGTGGGCGGAGCTGACCCGCCCCCTTCCGCCACCGACCGCGGGCGGCTCTCTGCCCAGTCCAGCCGGCCAGCCGCAGA